ACAAAGAGAAACAAGAAAAAACGAGAAATTAAAAAAACCAGCGACCTTCTGCTGATTTCTGTTCACCTGGTATCTCAGTTTCGAATTTAACGGTTTTCTGTCATTTGAGCGGTGGAAAGTGGAGGCAGAAAATGAGAGAATTTAAATCGAGAAAAGAGAGCAACCAAATACAAAGAGAAACAAGAAAAAACGAGAAATTAAAAAAACCAGCGACCTTCTGCTGATTTCTGTTCGCCTGGTATCTCAGTTTTGAATTTAACGGTTTTCTGCCATTTGAGCGGTGGAAAGTGGAGGCAGAAAATGAGAGAATTTAAATCGAGAAAAGAGAGCAACCAAATACAAAGAGAAACAAGAAAAAACGAGAATTTAAAAAAACCAGCGACCTTCTGCTGATTTCTGTTCGCCTGGTATCTCAGTTTCGAATTTAACGGTTTTCTGCCATTTGAGCGGTGGAAAGTGGAGGCAGAAAATGAGAGAATTTAAATCGAGAAAAGAGAGCAACCAAATACAAAGAGAAACAAGAAAAAACGAGGAATTAAAAAAACCAGCGACCTTCTGCTGATTTCTGTTCGCCTGGTAACGGTTTTCTGCCATTTGAGCGGTGGAAAGTGGAGGCAGAAAATGAGAGAATTTAAATCGAGAAAAGAGAGCAACCAAATACAAAGAGAAACAAGAAAAAACGAGGAATTAAAGAAACCAGCGACCTTCTGCTGATTTCTGTTCGCCTGGTATCTCAGTTTCGAATTTAACGGTTTTCTGCCATTTGAGCGGTGGAAAGTGGAGGCAGAAAATGAGAGAATTTAAATCGAGAAAAGAGAGCAACCAAATACAAAGAGAAACAAGAAAAAACGAGAAATTAAAAAAACCAGCGACCTTCTGCTGATTTCTGTTCGCCTGGTATCTCAGTTTTGAATTTAACGGTTTTCTGCCATTTGAGCGGTGGAAAGTGGAGGCAGAAAATGAGAGAATTTAAATCGAGAAAAGAGAGCAACCAAATACAAAGAGAAACAAGAAAAAACGAGGAATTAAAGAAACCAGCGACCTTCTGCTGATTTCTGTTCGCCTGGTATCTCAGTTTCGAATTTAACGGTTTTCTGCCATTTGAGCGGTGGAAAGTGGAGGCAGAAAATGAGAGAATTTAAATCGAGAAAAGAGAGCAACCAAATACAAAGAGAAACAAGAAAAAACGAGAAATTAAAAAAACCAGCGACCTTCTGCTGATTTCTGTTCGCCTGGTATCCCAGATTTGAATTTAACGGTTTTCTGCCATTTGAGCGGTGGAAAGTGGAGGCAGAAAATGAGAGAATTTAAATCGAGAAAAGAGAGCAACCAAATACAAAGAGAAACAAGAAAAAACGAGAAATTAAAAAAACCAGCGACCTTCTGCTGATTTCTGTTCGCCTGGTATCTCAGTTTTGAATTTAACGGTTTTCTGCCATTTGAGCGGTGGAAAGTGGAGGCAGAAAATGAGAGAATTTAAATCGAGAAAAGAGAGCAACCAAATACAAAGAGAAACAAGAAAAAACGAGAAATTAAAAAAACCAGCGACCTTCTGCTGATTTCTGTTCGCCTGGTATCTCAGTTTTGAATTTAACGGTTTTCTGCCATTTGAGCGGTGGAAAGTGGAGGCAGAAAATGAGAGAATTTAAATCGAGAAAAGAGAGCAACCAAATACAAAGAGAAACAAGAAAAAACGAGAAATTAAAAAAACCAGCGACCTTCTGCTGATTTCTGTTCGCCTGGTATCTCAGTTTTGAATTTAACGGTTTTCTGCCATTTGAGCGGTGGAAAGTGGAGGCAGAAAATGAGAGAATTTAAATCGAGAAAAGAGAGCAACCAAATACAAAGAGAAACAAGAAAAAACGAGGAATTAAAGAAACCAGCGACCTTCTGCTGATTTCTGTTCGCCTGGTATCTCAGTTTTGAATTTAATGGTTTTCTGCCATTTGAGCGGTGGAAAGTGGAGGCAGAAAATGAGAGAATTTAAATCGAGAAAAGAGAGCAACCAAATACAAAGAGAAACAAGAAAAAACGAGGAATTAAAAAAACCAGCGACCTTCTGCTGATTTCTGTTCGCCTGGTATCTCAGTTTTGAATTTAACGGTTTTCTGCCATTTGAGCGGTGGAAAGTGGAGGCAGAAAATGAGAGAAATTTAATTAGAAAAAAGAGAGCAACCAAATACAAAGAGAAACAAGAAAAAACGAGAAATTAAAAAAACCAGCGACCTTCTGCTGATTTCTGTTCGCTTGGTATCTCAGTTTTGAATTTAACGGTTTTCTGCCATTTGAGCGGTGGAAAGTGGAGGCAGAAAATGAGAGAAATTTAAATCGAGAAAAGAGAGCAACCAAATACAAAGAGAAACAAGAAAAAACGAGGAATTAAAGAAACCAGCGACCTTCTGCTGATTTCTGTTCGCCTGGTATCTCAGTTTTGAATTTAACGGTTTTCTGCCATTTGAGCGGTGGAAAGTGGAGGCAGAAAATGAGAGAATTTAAATCGAGAAAAGAGAGCAACCAAATACAAAGAGAAACAAGAAAAAACGAGGAATTAAAAAAACCAGCGACCTTCTGCTGATTTCTGTTCGCCTGGTATCTCAGTTTTGAATTTAACGGTTTTCTGCCATTTGAGCGGTGGAAAGTGGAGGCAGAAAATGAGAGAATTTAAATCGAGAAAAGAGAGCAACCAAATACAAAGAGAAACAAGAAAAAACGAGGAATTAAAAAAACCAGCGACCTTCTGCTGATTTCTGTTCGCCTGGTATCCCAGATTTGAATTTAACGGTTTTCTGCCATTTGAGCGGTGGAAAGTGGAGGCAGAAAATGAGAGAATTTAAATCGAGAAAAGAGAGCAACCAAATACAAAGAGAAACAAGAAAAAACGAGAAATTAAAGATAACCAGCGACCTTCTGCTGATTTCTGTTCGCCTGGTATCTCAGTTTGAATTTAACGGGTTTCTGCCATTTGAGCGGTGGAAAGTGGAGGCAGAAAATGAGAGAAATTAGATCGAGAAAAGAGATCAACTAGATACAAAGAGAAACAAGAAAAAAAGAGAAATTAAAATAACCAGCGACGTTCTGCTGATTTCTGTTCGCCTGGTATCTCAGATTTGAATCTAACGGGCTTCTGCCATTTGAGAGTGGAAAGTGGAGGCAGAAAATGAGAGAATTTAGATCGAGAAAAGAGACCAACCAAATACAAAGAGAAACAAGAAAAAACGAGAAATTAAAAAAACCAGCGACCTTCTGCTGATTTCTGTTCGCCTAGTATCTCAGATTTGAATTTAACGGTTTTCTGCCATTTGAGCGGTGGAAAGTGGAGGCACAAAATGAGAGAAATTAGATCGAGAAAAGAGAGCAACCAAATACAAAGAGAAACAAGAAAAAACGAGAAATTAAAAAAACCAGCGACCTTCTGCTCATTTCTGTTCGCCTAGTATCTCAGATTTGAATTGAACGGTTTTCTGCCATTTGAGCGGTGGAAAGTGGAGGCAGACAATGAGAGAAATTAGATCGAAAAAAGAGAGCAACGAAATACAAAGAGAGCTCTTTAGGGCCTGAGAAGCCTTCGAAAATCGGAGTTCGTGAAACCGGCCGACTTGGTCGCTTAGTAAGAGGCTGGCTATCTGCTGGCGCACTGGTGGCTATGCCATCGCTAGAAATAATTTGACTAGCGGAATTTGAGAGAGAGGCAGGAACTCGCAAATTCCTTTGAGAGGACGAGATTCTGCCAGTCGGGCAGTTGCCAGCGGGACTGGATCGATCGGATCAAAGAGGAACGACTTATCATCCATAATTTACCCCTTTATTTTTCTGGTGCACTCTAAACACAAACATGAATTGAAACGTGCAATGAAAACCCTTTTTTGTATGTTTTCTGTAACAATTTAAATGTAAAATTTGTTCGCAATTTTAATACGCTTTCGATAATAATAGAAAATCATATTCCTTAATTTTAATATTCGGGTTACGAATGGTAGCTGACTAGGAGTTTCAGCACTTAAAATACATTTTTATAAGTAAGATGAATGAGTTTTCTGTAGTATAAGGTAATGTTCTGTACTTCCTTCCTTGGAAAACGTGGGTTGCTTATAAAATAGGGTTAGAACTGAAACTTTTTGTGGAAAGCGTAGAGGTGTTGCGGACGTTCTCACCGTTCTTCGTAAGTTACGACGAACTGCACGTGAGACAGTTTGAGACAGGTGTAAGTATGATGTTATTTAACCAAGGATGTTGCAATAATTTGCTCAACATTTTGTGTCCAAAATAGCATGGCATTTCATCTAAGATACAAATGCTGGTTATTGCGGCCCAAACTGCTGAGCTGGGATAGCAGGTTTGCAGTGCTCCACATTGCGGTGGTAAGTCAAAGCAAAAGCATATCTTTAAAGAGTATATCTAAATATTTGCATTTATCAGGCAGTCACAGCAAGCACGACCATGATAGGCGATGGCAATGCAGCAAATGGAAAAGCAGAGGAGTACGCATACCATTACGCACATTTACCGGTGCTGCGCGATATAATTCACTTAAAAATAGTTTAGCATAACGGTACAGATATACAGACAAAATATTGCGAAGGGTTAACAGGATTTGTATTTTTAAAAAGACCACTTGGCAGTCGGTGTTGTGCCAGGCTGATACAGCTGAAGCGCTGTCGCCTTACATGGAATATAAGGAGAAGCAGCTTAGGAACTTGCGATTGATGTTGGAAAAGTTTTTCAGACTGTGCCTGTCTGATGAAATAAGTCTACACAATTTTAATACTGACGACCTGGAGATATTCCAGGCATGTCTGCAGGGCGAGATGAAGTTGTTAGCAGCCGGGCACGTACCCTAGCTAAACAACGTACAGGCAGCTCCAATATTTTTAGCAAAATTAGCAGGAGTGTACATGAAGCTGCTAGACGTGAGGTAGTACCTCTAGTACCTCATACAAATAAATGAATACAACAAGAGTTTGATTAGTTTATTTATTGGTTATTTAATAATTAATTAATTATTAATTCTCCATTTCATTCTCCGCGCGGGCCACCTGCACATCCCCTGGCTCATAACCCGCAACAGGCTCATAATCGACAGCGACAGCATCGGGAGCAGGGACATCAACAGGAACAGGGACGGCATCGGGAACAGGAACGGCATCGGGAACAGGAACAAGAATAGCAGGGTCGCGTCCACGTCCACGGTTGGACGAGGAGTTTAAAATATTAAATGTGTTCACTAGGTGCAGCCGGTTAGCATTTTCCAGTTCCGCGATGGCAGACATGTTGCGGATCATGGCCTGCATGGCCCGAGAAAGCGAACGCCGTTGCCTCGATGCCCTTCCTGGTCCCTGGTAGACACGTCCGCCGTGTCCCCGTCTGCCTCGTTGGTTCTCCATTTTCTGAAATAAAATAAACATAATTAAAAGTTAGTATTACATATACATATGTATATGTATGCGTCCATGTGCATGCGCTTCGGTGCCATAACGGTACAATGTTCACTTACATATGTAAAGGCGACATGCACATATGTACATACATATGTATACGGCTACAAACCAAGGCGCTGAAATGGCCCGCAAGCCGTATACATACACATACACACATATTATTTTGACCGTTACGAACCGTCGTACCCAAACATACATACATTTGTATGTACACTATGGCTCATTTAATGCGCACGCAGCTTAGTTTTCCGCGGTATACGCGAAAGGGTAGGACAATATTATGTAATATGCTTTGGATGATTATACATATTCTGAAACAACAAAGCTGGCGTGTAAAAGCGAATATTCCTTCCTTTTCTCGTATACGGCAGAAAACTAAACTGCGCCATTTAGCACTTAACACATAACATAACTAAATTGCACTACATTCATTCATAGTAGCACAGCGCTCACCCAGTTTTCTTCTTGTATTTTCTCCACTCGGTCTTCCCAAATCTAAGTCCAAAATTCGTTTGCTTTACTAGAACAATGTGATGGATGTCGATGTGATGGATTCCTTGAACGATCTTATCGATATTTTAACTCAATAACTCGATCAATTGAGTTACGAGTTTCGACAACTCGTAACTTGTTGCGTGTTTTTAACAAAATTTTATATATAAACCGAATTATTAATATGGACAGCTACATTTCATGAATAAATTACTATGAATTTAGATATTCAAATAAATTTATTTGAAAAGATTTGCATTCATATATGCGATAGTTCTTCCAAAAACAATATATGTAAGTATTCTTATATTGTCTTTGATTCTTCCGTACACCGCGAAAAACATTTTTTTATTCCTCGTAAAAGTCTTGAAGTGACAAAAGAGTCCACAAAAATCTTGCATGTAATGATAAAATTGGTTACATTTATTATTTTTAAGGAATTTACATTTTGCTTCCATTTTTCATGGTAAACAACATGTTTTTGTTGAAACTACAAAACTCAACCTTTTGCCATCACTAGGCCAAACCTAGGTAAAAAAACACAAAAAAAAAAACAAATCAAATTCAAACCGCTCAAATCGTTGACCGTTAACAGCGACATAACCATTCACCACAAGAGTGTGGTCGAGTTTGGTTTTAAAGTTGTTATTTGTTTGTATTGTGTGTATTTACAATGGGGGGGACTCAGCCGAAAAGAGGTGGAAAAATTAAAAAAATATTTTATGAACGCTTTGAATAAAATAAATGTAAAATAAACATTAATATACAATTTTTAGCGAATTTAATTTTCAAGATAATTTTAGTTTAGGGCTATGAGCACTCAAAGTTGAAAATGAAATGTACAAAAATCTATTGAACCCTTTTTCCCTTTATAATTTATCAAGCTGGGCCCACTGTGCGCATCTCTTACGATCAGACGACGTCGTCGGGCAGCGCGCTATCGGCATAGCCGAAAAGAGAATTGAATCCCCGCGCGCTCCCTCTGTCCAAGGGGCGTACCGATAAACCTAGCCATAGAACATCTTTTTGGTCGCTCATGCAGCATCTTGGTATTGTATAGACTTTGATATCACCAAATACCAGAAAAACCTTCTGTTGAACTGCTTGAGTTGAAGCCACGTGCTTTCCGTTTGTTCAATAACGCCCGCCGAAAAATCTAGAAGACCCCGGCCGCCATCGACGCCGTTCAGTTGAGCTAAATGAGCGGCGCGGCTCAATTATTGAGCACAAATAGATATATATATTTTATTTTTAAATTGACCTGCCAAGCTACATATCATATATTGTTGGATTACATATCATTTTATTTTCATTTGTTTATATTTTCTAGAGCGAACAAACTTTAAGGTAAATTTAAAATTACCCGCAAAGTCAGCCATTTATAAATGGCTCATTTTGAGCACTTTGCGTCCATCCTTTTTCCACCGAGTTGGCATCATCTCATCTGCCTATCTGGTCACACTCATTTTTCTGCAAGCCGGCGCCGGTTTTTGTTTAGAGTTTTGTTAACTTTTCCAGAAGAGAAGATGGAACCAGAACCAGAACAACAAGATGCATCGTCCCCTCTACCTCCATGGGACGAGCGCCCATGGAACAAAGATCTGCCCGTTACATTTAGAACATGGGTTGAAGTGTTGGCCATGCTTCCAGCATTTCCATTTGAAGCTTAGGAACTTGCGATTGATGTTGGAAAAGTTTTTCAGACTGTGCCTGTCTGATGAAATAAGTCTACACAATTTTAATACTGACGACCTGGAGATATTCCAGGCATGTCTGCAGGGCGAGATGAAGTTGTTAGCAGCCGGGCACGTACCGGAGCTAAACAACGTACAGGAAGCTCCAATATTTTTAGCAAAATTAGCAGGAGTGTACATGAAGCTGCTAGACGTGACGTAGTACCCCTAGTACCTCATACAAATAAATGAATACAACAAGAGTTTGATTAGTTTATTTATTGGTTATTTAATGATTAATTAATTATTAATTCTCCATTTCATTCTCCGCGCGGGCCACCTGCACAGCCCCTGGCTCATAACCCGCAACAGGCTCATAATCGACAGGGACAGCATCGGGAACAGGGACATCAACAGGAACAGGGACGGCATCGGGAACAGGAACGGCATCGGGAACAGGAACAAGAACAGCAGGGTCGCGTCCACGTCCACGGTTGGACGAGGAGTTTAAAATATTAAATGTGTTCATTAGGTGCAGCCGGTTATCATATTCCAGTTCCGCGATGGCAGACATGTTGCGGATCATGGCCTGCATGGCCCGAGAAAGCGAACGCCGTTGCCTCGATGCCCTTCCTGGTCCCTGGTAGACACGTCCGCCGTGTCCCCGTCTGCCTCGTTGGTTCTCCATTTTCTGAAATAAAATAAACATAATTAAAAGTTAGTATTACATATACATATGTATATGTATGCGTCCATGTGCATGCGCTTCGGTGCCATAACGGTACAATGTTCACTTACATATGTAAAGGCGACATGCACATATGTACATACATATGTATACGGCTACAAACCAAGGCGCTGAAATGGCCCGCAAGCCGTATACATACACATACACACATATTATTTTGACCGTTACGAACCGTCGTACCCAAACATACATACATTTGTATGTACACTATGGCTCATTTAATGCGCACGCAGCTTAGTTTTCCGCGGTATACGCGAAAGGGTAGGACAATATTATGTAATATGCTTTGGATGATTATACATATTCTGAAACAACAAAGCTGGCGTGTAAAAGCGAATATTCCTTCCTTTTCTCGTATACGGCAGAAAACTAAACTGCGCCATTTAGCACTTAACACATAACATAACTAAATTGCACTACATTCATTCAGAGTAGCACAGCGCTCACCCAGTTTTCTTCTTGTATTTTCTCCACTCGGTCTTCCCAAATCTAAGTCCAAAATTCGTTTGCTTTACTAGAACAATGTGATGGATGTCGATGTGATGGATTCCTTGAACGATCTTATCGATATTTTAACTCAATAACTCGATCAATTGAGTTACGAGTTTCGACAACTCGTAACTTGTTGCGTGTTTTTAACAAAATTTTATATATAAACCGAATTATTAATATGGACAGCTACATTTCATGAATAAATTACTATGAATTTAAATATTCAAATAAATTTATTTGAAAAGATTTGCATTCATATATGCGATAGTTCTTCCAAAAACAATATATGTAAGTATTCTTATATTGTCTTTGGTTCTTCCGTACACCGCGAAAAACATTTTTTTATTCCTCGTAAAAGTCTTGAAGTGACAAAAGAGTCCACAAAAATCTTGCATGTAATGATAAAATTGGTTACATTTATTATTTTTAAGGAATTTACATTTTGCTTCCATTTTTCATGGTAAACAACATGTTTTTGTTGAAACTACAAAACTCAACCTTTTGCCATCACTAGGCCAAACCTAGGTAAAAACACACAAAAAAAAAAACAAATCAAATTCAAACCGCTCAAATCGTTGACCGTTACGTATTAACAGCGACATAACCATTCACCACAAGAGTGTGGTCGAGTTTGGTTTTAAAGTTGTTATTTGTTTGTATTGTGTGTATTTACAATGGGGGGGACTCAGCCGAAAAGAGGTGGAAAAATTAAAAAAATATTTTATGAACGCTTTGAATAAAAGAAATGTAAAATAAACATTAATATAACATTTTTAGCGAATTTAATTTTCAAGATAATTTTAGTTTAGGGCTATGAGCACTCAAAGTTGAAAATGAAATGTACAAAAATCTATTGAACCCTTTTTCCCTTTATAATTTATCAAGCTGGGCCCACTGTGCGCATCTCTTACGATCAGACGACGTCGTCGGGCAGCGCACTATCGGCATAGCCGAAAAGAGAATTGAATCCCCGCGCGCTCCCTCTGTCCAAGGGGCGTACCGATAAACCTAGCCATAGAACATCTTTTTGGTCGCTCATGCAGCATCTTGGTATTGTATAGACTTTGATATCACCAAATACCAGAAAAACCTTCTGTTGAACTGCTTGAGTTGAAGCCACGTGCTTTCCGTTTGTTCAATAACGCCCGCCGAAAAATCTAGAAGACCCCGGCCGCCATCGACGCCGTTCAGTTGAGCTAAATGAGCGGCGCGGCTCAATTATTGAGCACAAATAGATATATATATTTTATTTTTAAATTGACCTGCCAAGCTACATATCATATATTGTTGGATTACATATCATTTTATTTTCATTTGTTTATATTTTCTAGAGCGAACAAACTTTAAGGTAAATTTAAAATTACCCGCAAAGTCAGCCATTTATAAATGGCTCATTTTGAGCACTTTGCGTCCATCCTTTTTCCACCGAGTTGGCATCATCTCATCTGCCTATCTGGTCACACTCATTTTTCTGCAAGCCGGCGCCGGTTTTTGTTTAGAGTTTTGTTAACTTTTCCAGAAGAGAAGATGGAACCAGAACCAGAACAACAAGATGCATCGTCCCCTCTACCTCCATGGGACGAGCGCCCATGGAACAAAGATCTGCCCGTTACATTTAGAACATGGGTTGAAGTGTATGGCCATGCTTCCAGCATTTCCATTTGAAGTTCCAGCGAGGTAAAGTAAACATCAACATATTTTTAAAATCTATAAATCATTTATTTATATTTTTTCTAGAGCGAACTGGAATCCGGATTCGTAAGATGCGAAAGATGCCTGAGAACTATGTTGAAAAGATCTTTAAGAATGCACGAACAATTTTCCTGTGTATTTGGGCAAAAGAAAAAAACCTTTACATGTCCATACTGTTCATTCAAGAGCGGTATAAAATCAAATATAAGAAATCATATGAAGCTTGTCCATGAATGCCACGACGAACCTGTCGTAATCTCGGAATCCAGCAGCAGATCGGTCTCCAGCTCCAGCTCCGACAGCAGCGACGACGACGACGACGAAGTTTGTAAGTACGAACCGAACATTGTTCGAACAATGTTTTACTGATTCATTTTTCTATAGATCAAGATGTCAAGAAACTCTTTTGGCGCCGCATCAAAGCCCCTGGAGCCCCCAAACTGCCATTGGCTGGCTATGTGCGGTTCACGATCGAAAAATGCAAGGAAATGAAACGCTCGCATGGCTGGCACGTGAGGCAACGTGAGGAATGGCAGCGGCTTTCAAAGGAGCGCAAGGCTCCCTACATGGAAGCGGCCGCCAAGGGCAGAGCTGAGTAAGTGAAGTTAAGTTAAGTTTACAGTGCAATAATATTATATTCTATTCTTCCAATAGATACAAAAAGAAGATGTTCCGATTCTTCAGGAACAATCCACAAATTTTGAAAAAAGAGTTGGCAAAGCTGAAGATGCCAAATATGACCAAAAGAAAGGCCACAGCAACTAAGAGGCAAAACAAGCACGCTTCCGACTCAGATGATGATGATTATGATGACATCCCAGATGACCCAGATGATTTTCCACCATCCAAGGTTATCCGCTTGGGTGCTGCTGGCAAAAATAAGGAGCCAGTCGCGTCTACAGCGCCTACGAAAATATCATGGACTATAAAATAAAATTATTTGAATTATGTAAATTTCAGGCCATAGCGACGATGCAAAAGTTTCATTTGACTGTTTCGACTTTAAAGTATAATATAATATAATTTCCCCTATACCAAAACCGGGGAAATATCATACAACAACATATTTATTTATTTATTTATAAATAAAATAAATATAAATGCAGTCTGTGCCGTGCCACAGAAAATGTGAGGTTAAATTGAATGCCGGTCAGCACTGAAAAATTTGGTCAACTCTGGAGTTGAAGGAGTTTGTAAAATAATCGTTTTCGACCTTCTCCAGATTAAATACCGAAATACCATAAAAATACTTTAAAAAATACCGTTGCTGGCGCTGCAAGAGGGCCATAATTTTATTCCTAGCAGCGACACCTGTGGGCAAGGCATAACATTTTTAGTTTTGCTACCCGCCAAAGTGGCGGCGCCACTTATAGCTTTGATATTCTTTTAATTTGTTTATATTATTTAACGAAATCTTTGTTGCTGTCGCAGTAGTTAGAAATAGACCGTAATACCATAATGCGTTTAAATACTTCAATTTCGAAATGCAGTAGTCTAATGCTATTGTTATTTTGGGAAAACTACGCTCGAAAACGTGTTTGGTTTGCCCACAGAAGGCTTACAGCATGCAAAAAGTTCAGCCAAAGGTCACTTCGCATAGCCAAACCGCGGAAAGGGTTCAGTTCATGTAATTTACGAGTGCGGGCAACCATGTGAACGCAATCGATGTGGGAGAGTGGGATTTGGGGCGGAGAATCGATTATGAATGCAGCCCGTTAAGCGGATCGGCATGCCCCGAACACAAAAATAATTGATTTATGTTGCGTTGAAGCAACGATTTTCGGCTACGATTCCCTCCCTAAATGGGCAGAAGCGCAGCAGATATGGGGCCTCATGCTAAAAGAGTTCACACCTTGTCCAGTCCAGCGCAAGCAAGGTGCCTTGCACTGCTGCCTGGGCTTAGATAGAGACATATCGCTGTAATAAATATTTCACTTAGGGGAAGCACACTACACACACACACGAATAATGCTCAGTGTCAGGTTTCAGGTTCAACTCTCCATCTCCCCCCGCACCACCAGGAGTCGGAAGTCACGTTTAAACGTTTTCGCTAAAAGTTTCACACAGCCCAGAGCGGATGATTGATGAGCCATGCCACGTGCATACATACCTACATATGTATGTACATATGGATAAAGATAGGCACACGGAGACGCAGTACCACTTACATATAGAGAATATGGTCATTAAGGATTTACATTGTGTTTATCTTTGGCTTACTTTAATGCTCATTCGCCCACACAAATTGTAAATCATATTTCGGATAACAGAAGGCCACTTAATTGAGTTGAATCCGAACATTGAGACTTGGTCAATAAATCCTTTCACATTTCATTTATTATTTTGAGAGCATGGCATCAATATTTTCTGTCTCCAGTTTCTAGTTTCTCTTTTTCATATTAATTCAACATTTATGGCTTTTCTAGTTTATGAAAATATGCCATTTCAAGTCAATGTTTGAAGGGAAACATTTGCAAAAAAAAAAAACGAGTATGCAAAAAGCAAACGCAGAGCAGACAAATGCAGAAGTCTTAATTAAAAATGCTCTGGAAAAATCAACATTGATTTTGGACGTCAGTTTTTTGTGGATTATTTATAGCTTGTGCAAGCAACAGCAGAGGGGTAGAGTGGCTTTTCTATCTACCGACTGTCTATTAAAATCTCCAGTACATTTTGACGACATAATGAAGTTAGTCGCTTGCTAATTGGCGCTTCACTAATTTGTCTTCGTTGGGTACTTCCTCCCACTCCTCTATAGTTTATCGCGTACCTTTCAGGTTGTTGTCAAAAGGCAGATTCCTCGTCGTTCTTCCAAGGAGTTTCGTGTGGCATCCTCGCTGCCTGCCTGCGTAGCCGTGACAGGCAGCAAGGATTTATTGGCTCGACGTTGCTGCCTACAATTGCCTAACAAGTGCAAGGATCTTCTTAATTAATTTTGTTGCGCCAAGATACCAAAAAAGAGCTTTCAAAGCCGAAGCCAAGAGCAAGCAGCAAACCCGAAGGAGCCAGAGGACAGGCAGGCAGACAGAAACGATACATTTGGCTGGCTGGCGAATGGGAAGTAGAAGAGGAGAGGAGAATAGATAAGTGATACAGTTGGGGTTATGTGAATAGAGACCGATGCCTGTTTGTTTACATACATCGATATACATACATAGATCTGTATTAGGCTCCAGCGATTAATAAAGTGGTTTTATAGCACTCCACGAAACATTGCCCACGGTTGTTGCTGCTGGCACAAACTCCTTCTATTTTTTTTAGCACTTTCCAATCTCCATCTGCTGCCTGGTCACGCTCCACTGTAGCTGCTTGGGCAGTGTCAGCTTTCAGCTTTCTGTCCTTGGTGTCGACTTGAACTGGACCGTTTCAGACCCTACCCCCACCAATATCCCTTTCCGCTCCTCTTACTTCTCTGCAACAGCTGTCAATGCTTGCAGAATGAAATCACGACAGAACTCTCAGCTCAGCTCGGTTCGGTCTCCCCCATGGAGAAATGCAATTTCATCCGTCCGCCAACATGTGGAGAATGCTGTCGCTTGTAAAATTTTTTGGCATGCGACAAATATATTTCGCACAGAGTGCGCGTACAAAAGGGTGTTTGGAGCGCAGAAGCCGGGGCAGGGCAGAAGTGGGATAACTTTAATTTATGGGCAACGACAAGTGCACGCTGCACGCTTCGCCGCCAATAACGAGATGAGATGCAATGTGCAATGTGCAACAGCTGCCTGCAGCCAGATTGCATTTAAGCGGATCCCCTAGGCGCTGCCCCAGCTGTGTTAATGAGTCCATTATGGCCATCAAATATCCCAAGAGGGAGGCAGCCTAGAGGAAAAGCGCTCAATGCGGGGAGCGTTTAATTAAAATTCCTTCCACTTGCTAGTGTCGCTTTATAGGCCTTATGGCTCAACCGTTTGTGTATGCTCTCATAAAACTGGCCAAAGTGTCGGAAATTGTGTATGGCTTGGAATTGAGATTTCTTTTTTCATGTTATGGCCATGCGTCATAGCAGAAAGGGGTTGTCGGAGGGGGAGCGGAGCAAAGTTTTGGCAAGCCGCGAAAATGAGTCGCCTTTGGAGTGAGTGACTGCTACCCCACCCAGCTCCAGCACCAGCTCCAACCTCTGATCCGCTATCAATGAGTCATGCTCTCCGCTGATATCTGATGAGAGTCCCAACCAAAACTCCGAATGTCAATGGCCAAAAGTTTTGTGTCCTCAGCAAGGTCATAAATATGCGAAAATATTTTAGGTTTATGCTAAAGATATGAAAATTAGTAAAACTATTGGGATTAGCATCATTAGCCCTTGAGCGTAGGAGAAGGAAACCCAAGGGATGGGCTGTTCCTGTTCCTTGTACATCGGATTATAATTCTTCCTCAGAGGCCATGATTGCTTTTTTCCCACAAATGCATTAATTATGGTTTATTAGGACATGCAAAACGGCTTTGACTTATCAAAACCAGAAAGACATTTCCATTTCCATTTCCTGCTCTGCGCTCTTCCGCCGTTCCACGCTCTACGTTCAACTGCAGCTCCAGAGTCTAGAGCTTTCGAATTTCGTTTAAAACCAATTATCAAATCATGTCGCTGCCGGCTGACAAACTCATTTATTTTGCTCGGTGCACTCAAAAGCCAGACATGCCCACATACATCATACTTACACGCGGTCGGTGCTGCTGCTGCTGATGCTGCTCCTTGCTCTCACTCTCACTCTGTCTCTTTTCCCCCCACAAAGTGCAGCCTAATTTTGCTTTCGTTTCCACAGATGCAACTGCAACCACATCCGTTTGCTGTCGGCAGCGTGTTTAAGTCAGGCGCAAAATGTTTGTTGCTGGTCTCCACAGCAAACGGCACAAGGAAAATGTTGGTACGCCGCCCTTTCCCCATGCCCAAACCACGACCAAGACCAAGACCAAGACCAAGACCAAGACCGAGACCTAGATCCACATACCCAAGAGCTGTCAAACTGTCGCCAGGGCCTGAAATTGTCATTACTCAGTGTCTATTGCCTCATTTACAGGTCGCTCTGCCAAAGGGGGAATGGGACTAGGGGACTGGTGCCGGGTTTCCAACTAATTTTAATGTGTGAAAATTAAATTTGGAGTTTTCCAGCCGGTCCGGGCATCTCACTCTCTATCAATTAGTTTGTCATTCCCAGCCAGCCGCCCCCAGGCCATGCCATCCATCCCACAGTCACGATTTGCCCACATCAATACAGCGCTCAACTCCCTGATTCTGTTCAAACTTTTGTTGCTGTGGCTTTCTGCATTTCCAATTGGATTTACATACCCCTTACACGTAGCGTTATGGAGTATGTTGCATACAACCCCAGTGAAAGCCACGCAGATATTCTGTGTTTTTGATATTTATTTAACTGCTGGGGAATTTGGGAGCAGTCCCACAGTACAGTTCGAACATGTTTTTTCCCACTCTCTTTTCCAGAATTTTCTGGTGCGTGTCGAGTACCATGTGGTAACGATGGGGGTAAGGACTATTGTAATGGGCATCTTATTGCCGAGGCAGTAGATGGCAGTCCATTCTCTCTTTTGTTTTTGTCGCCAATTCGTTGGCGCTCATAACACATAAGCATAAATCATTGCCAGAGCGGATCTCTGGCAAGCGCCACAGGAAAAAAAATAAAGAAAACGAGAAGGAACGTGTGAGTCGCTTCTTGGGACGCGACTCTACTTTTATACCCGTACTCAGTCAGTATATAAATTTGTGAGCTTATGATTTATGTAGAATTTTAAAAAATTTACATAATTTACATAAAATTAAAAAAAAAAAAAATACATATCGAGGCAGAGTTTGCGAGCGAGAAAGAGAATGAGTAGCGGGTCTCTGGCTGAAGTAGGCGGGGGAAGCAACTGAAAATTAATTTCTTCATTCTGGCTATAATTATGATCCGAATCTGATTCGGAAATCTGGTAGATATGGCCATTCTCTACGATACTGCCTTTTAAGTTTTATCGTAGCTTTAAATTTGTGTCTGTCACAGATTTTCGTCCTTTCTGGGGGCGGGGCGAAATTTTGAAATACACTTGTAGCAGTGTGATATTACATGAGTCTGGAAATACAATTTGGTTGCTCTTGCTCTTATAGTCTCTGAGATCTAGGCGCTCATCCAGACGGACGGACAGACAGACAGACAGACAGATGGACGGACGGAATTTCATGGCTATATCGACTCGGCTATTGACGCTGATCAAGAATATATATACTTTATGGGGTGGGAAACGTTTTCTTCTTTGCGTTGCACACATCCACTTTTAACACAAATACAATATACGCCTTAACTCTTTTTGAGTACGGGTATATAAATAACAAAAATATTTTATTAAATAAATATTTAACAAGCTGTAGCAGAGCAGCAGCAGGCAGACGCGGGAATGCAATGAGCGATTCTTCAAGCATTTGTCAAGTCTTGATATGATATTAGCACAGTTTCAGAAGGATGGAAAACCGAAACGAGCCACAACCATCACAATATTCAGATAATTGACACTTGTTAATGGGCGACAGACGAGTGCAGATGTTCCCCCCCACCCTAGAGTTCTTTGGGCTTCGATCTATGTACAAATGTTTCTATAAAGCAGATCTTGTATTGCAGAAGATGTAAGATAAAACCAAAGTGAATATAGCTCAACCAAAGAAGATAGTCCCCCAAGAGTGGATTAGCAAGAGATCCCATCCAATTCGAAATCCTTTCCCCGAACAGAATCCCAAATTAAAGCCAAATGACTGCCAATAGTCTGCTAGGACGATCCATACTAAATGAAGGTGAGAAATTACTTAACTTTGATTTTGTTATCCATAACTAAGCTTTCATTTTTACCACAGGACTTTCAAATAAACGATCTTTTGTCTCGCTGATTGTGGGCCTCATCGTGGGCTTCTGCCTGGCCGAGCTCTTTGTGTACTCCACGCCGGAACGTGGCGGACTTATGCCCTACGATGGCCACCGGCATAGCGATGTCAATGATGCCCATGAGCAGGATGTGGGAACCCATGAGCATGCTCATGAGAATGCCACCATTGCGGAGAAGCTGTACAGCGAGGTGCGGGTGCTGTGCTGGATCATGACCAATCCGGATAACCACCAGAAGAAGGCGCGTCACGTAAAGCGCACGTGGGGGAAACGCTGCAACAAGCTGATCTTCATGAGCTCCGCCAAGGATGAGGAGCTGGATGCTGTGGCTCTGCCCATAGGCGAGGGACGGAACAATCTGTGGGGCAAGACAAAGGAGGCATACAAGTACATCTATGAGCACCACATAAATGACGCCGATTGGTTCCTAAAGGCCGACGACGACACCTACACGATAGTGGAGAATATGCGCTATATGCTGTATCCGTACAACCCCGAGACCCCTGTCTATTTTGGTTGCAAGTTCAAGCCGTACGTAAAGCAGGGGTACATGTCCGGTGGCGCTGGCTACGTCCTCAGTCGCGAGGCTGTGCGTCGCTTCGTTGAGGAGGCCCTGCCCGATCCGAAATTGTGCAAGCAGGAGAACACCGGTGCTGAGGATGTTGAGATGGGCATGTGCCTGGAGAATGTCAAGGTGCTGGCAGGAGACTCCCGCGATACCAATGGACGGGGACGGTTCTTTCCTTTCATGCCAGAGGACCATTTGATACCAGACCACACGGATAAGAAGTTCTGGTACTGGCAGTATATCTTCTACAAGACCGATGAGGCTGGTTTCTGAACCCCATTCAAATGTCGATAGATTCCTAATGTGTTTCCACTCTTTTAGGGCTTGGATTGCTGTTCGGACAATGCCATATCCTTTCACTATGTCTCGCCAAATGAAATGTATGTCCTGGACTATCTGATTTACCATTTGCGACCCTATGGCATCATGAATGCCCCCGATGCCCTGCCCACAAAGTTGGGCGTAGGAGAACAAATGCCAGCTCCGAAAGAGCCGATTACTAAAGCGTCCAGCGAAAAGGTGTCCAAACTATCCGCAAAAAACTGAGACCAAGACGCAGTAAATGAGTGGAGAGGATGGCCAGTGGCTGCCACAGATTTTCGTCCTTTGTGGGGGCGAAGCTAAATTTTGAAATACACTTGTAGCAGTGTGATATCACATGAGTCTGGAAACCAAATTTGGTTTCTCTAGCTCTTATAGTCACTGAGATCTAGGCGCTCATCAAGACGAACAGACGGACATGGCTATATCGATTCGGCTCTTGATGCTGATCAAGAATATATATAATTTATGGGGTCGGAAACGATTCCTTCTCTGCGTTGCACACATCCAATTTTACCACAAACACAATATACCCCTTAACTCTTTTTGAGTACGGGTATAAAAACACGGCGACATATTAAATTTACAAGTTGATTTTGATTTATGTGCAATAAGAGAAATACAAACATACACATGTACAGCATACATATACATACCTATGTATGTATGGTACCCATCTGCATATAAAGATTCATATTGCTGTCTTGCATCGGCCTTGCCTTTCCTTGCCTTGCCGCCGCTAACTCAATTGAAATCTCGCTGCTGCTGCTGCTGCTGCTGCTGCTGCTGCTGCAGTGGTTGGGTTGTGTTGTCGCTGTCATTGAGCGTGTTCTTGTTGTTGCATTGCAGCTTGCAACTCAATCTGCTGCCTGTGCCGGCTCTGCGGTTCCTGTCGGTTGCAATTAAGCTCGGCGCTTGGAAGTGGTGCGGTTTTGGATTGATTTTCAAGTGAAAGAAAGTTGTTGCTTAAGTATTTAATATGCCTTAATATAATGAAGCTTATGAGTTTCTTAGTTAGCAATAATTTTGGGGGTCTTTCGGGGCAAACAATATATTTGATATGGAGTCCCACTTATTTACGCTGTGCACATAATAAATCTCATCTCTCACAATTTTAATTCAAGTTTCATGTCAGCGCGTAAAAGCTTTGGATCCACCGCGTACACCCCTCCACAACGCTGCCGGTTTGTGGGCGTTTTAAGCCGCACGGAAGTTGCTCCTTCTGTCGCCGCAAACTAACGAAACAAATCCAGGGAGACAGACAGACAGAGAGAGACAGAGACAGAGACCGAAACAAACTGACAGGCGAACTGGTATTAATTAAAACTGAAAATTTGCAGTTTCGTTTTGGCAGGGAAATATCCCATCCACCCTTCTTCATGGTCTCTGCGGCTGCCTCCCCCTGTTGCCGAGAGTCATTTCGAAAAACCTGCAATTAGCAAGGCACACCAACGAAAATCTCTGGGACTTGGGTAATTTGATAAATCCACGAGAAACTTGACCCACTTCCCGGAAGGACGCTAATGAAGTCCATTCCATTCGGGCCGCCGAGGGAGAATATTATTTTATTTTACTTTTACATCTCCCCCTCCATCATCAATGCACTGTCTTGGGGTCTGGCTGATTGCCCCACCATATCGTTTATTTTTATGGCCGTTTCTTTTAAGCGGTTGGCATTTAATGTGAAATTTATCATTTCACTGCCACACCTCCCCTCCAACCCATCGTCATCTCATTATCAATTTGTCGACTCTGGTAAGATTTTTTATTGCATTAAAATTTAACATTTAACAGAGTGAAATTATAATTTCCATATTTAGTTTATGGAAGATAGTTTAAGAAAGCAAAGGAAATGGATTGCAGCTTCTGCTTAAAATTTGAGATCTTTTATACCGCTATGAAAATTAACTACTACTTTCTGCTGTGTGGCTTCTGGAAAGAGGTAACGGCAATCCAACATTTTTTCACCACTACACTAATAGGATATCCACACAAATACGAATTAAAACCCCCAAAACAAACTTAAAAATTTAAATAAGTAAAGATATACACTTATCAAAACTGTTAACTCAACAGCTGACAACTGTCAGCATTTGAATTTCCGCTATGTTAACGCATTTTTGGTATTTTCAACTTGCGTCTGGCTTTGCCTTATTTGTTTAAACCTTTTTTTATGAACAATCCAATAAATGGATTGTCTTGTAGAAAATTGATTCATTAACCGGATAAAATTATGTGTTCAGTGGGGAACATACCTAACTAGCTAGTAATATTAAACGGAATTTCAAATTGAAGGAATATCAACGTTGAATGTTTTGAAAAAACAATCGATACTATCGTTATATTATCGGGCTCAAATAATTATTAAAAAACCATTGAAAGGTTTTAGGAACTTGTCCATTGTAAAAATTAGATGCCACCTGTCGATTTGTTTACAAATTTGTCTTCGTATTTTATAGCCAATCCAAACATATCAAAAGCGCAACGACTGTAGCTCGATACTATCATGATAGTCGCAAAACCGTCGATAGTAGCGGATAGCAGCAAAACATCCATACCATCGATAGTGGCTCACAATTTAAACGCAGAAATGAGTCCGGAGAGCGTTTCAAAAGCACTGTTCTGCAACTTTGGCACGGAATGAGCAACAAACTGCATACCTTGGGAAAATGGATATTATGGACTTGAGATACTGTTTGTAATTTCAGGCTCCAATTAATGCAAAAACTACTCAGTCTCTGTTTTAAAGATATTAACGAAATTTTGCAGCTCCCGGGTTCCAATAATAGGTATCAGAACCGGGATAAATGTATATATAAGACACAAACATATGCCAATCTAGGACCAAATCATAAATAATGTTTCAATGGAGCTTGGAACAAAACATTTAACATTAATTAAAAGAAATAATGTATACAAAAGTCCATACGCATAGAAGAAACTTGGTTGGCCAGCAACACTTAGTCAACATTTACGTTTTATGCTTTGGTCGATTTTGTTTGAACCTTGTTATGTAAATAATCCAATAAAAAGAACTTCTGAAAACTTGCCAATCTTGTACAAAATTTATTGAGGAATACGACAAAATCATTTGTTTACGGCTGAGAGGGCCAACTAGCTAGTAATATTAAACGGAATATTAAATATGAGGAATATCAACGTTGAATGTCTTGAAAAAAACAATCGATACTATCCTGATAGTCGCAAAACCGTCGATAGTAGCGGATAGCAGCAAAACATCGATACCATCGATAGTGCCCTCGATGGTCCAAACAAAAATTTCGACGCGAACCGTAAACAACGCCTCCGTGTCGAATTTTTATCTGAAATTCAGAAATTTTCGTTGATTGGCCGCAAAATGATAATGAATAAACCACGAAAGTGTTAATTATTAAATAAATCGAAGGAGACTTTAAGCCATGAGTGCGAAAATACGGCAAATCTAATACAGAAAAGCGCGAAAAATGTGATTTGAAAACTGCAGCTACAATTGGCGACGCGACGCGCTCTTCAAGTGCTAGTTGGAGCGAGACAACACTACTCTCTCTCTCTGTTGTGTGTGTGTTGTGTGCAATTTGTTGATGTAGTATTTCGTGTTGTTGTTGCTGTTGTACAGAAATGCGGGGGAACAACAAAAAGCACTGAAATTATTTGTTGTTGCATGCTGCAAAAACGCCGGCAAAACAAATATAAAACGTAAAACGTAAATTTGATTGAGGAAAAAAAGGAAAATAAATGCCAGTAAAGTGAACGAATCGCCAAAGAATACACAACAAAAGTGGAGGGAGTTTGTGTAAGCGTGTGTGTGCGCTCCTGTTTCCCTGTGTTTGTGAAGGAAAAAGAGGGATTGAAGGAGAAGTTAGAAGAGATTCAAAGTAAAACCCCCAACGGCCAGAAAATGCAGCGCCAGCAAAACGTTGCGAGATCGTAAACAAAATTCCCTGGCACTCAAATAACCGCGTAAACGTAACGCTCACGTAAAGTACCAACCAATTTCATCAAAATGGCCCACACGACGATATCAACGTGGGTTCTGGGTATATGCCTGATCCAGCTGCAGCTGTTGCAGCCTTCAATTGGCAGTCAAGGTAGGAATATGTCACATGTTTTTTTTTCTATTGGTAAAAGTATAACACGTACCCCATTCCATCCAGTCTATATGGAGGTGACGGAAAGTCTGGTCGATGTGTTTGAAGCCATGTATTGTGGGCGGGGGAAAAACTACTCATAGTTCAATGGGTTGTGTCAGCAGCCTGATAAGAATCCGCAATATTGTACACTTTGCCTGCTTTTCGGACTCACCCAATTAACGTATCTACATGGGAGTACACATGTGGGGCCATGTGAGCTAGTTGGCCAGGCCCAGATCGAGCCACATGCGGAACAGCCTTTGGCAATCATTTGGGTAATTCACCATAATTGCTCTTCGATAGATAAGGACCCCCTAACGGGAGGGGCTGGCAGTCAGGCAGTTATCTCCTCGCGAGCGCTTGAATTTCAAACATTCCTAATGAGCTTCCCTTGAAAGCGATAAACTGGCTGACACCTCACTACAAGAAATGCCTCGACATCAAAAAAATACAATTAATATGAAATGCTGGCACTGCACTTCAAGAAATAAGAAACGGGTTGCCTAAAGGCTAATTGCTATGTATGTTTGTAATTTAAAGCAGAAGAATCTAAAATTAACAGTTCAGAGTAGTCCCGGTTTTGGATAGTTTACAAGAAATGAATGCCCGCTGTTTGGTTCCACTTAAAAGAAAGGGACTCCAGATACAGTATTTACGATCAAGTGTTCAGATTTCAATTAAATATGATAGGATTGTCTCGATAGCAATGCCAATAAAAGTTGCACATAATTGAAATTATAGGGACTTGAAATAGTTTGACAGCCAGGTAGATTCAGGATATTTATACCTTTCCCACTTCTGGAACTAATCTGGGAATAAGGAATTGTAAATAGTATTTTATTCTTGGAACTTTAAAAAAGTTTACTGCATTTGATCAACAAAAAATGAAACCTAGTCGGTTCTGTGCTGCAAAAAGTTCAAGTGAAAAATAGTTTAAATTTCAGATTAGAGAACACACAAAATGGAGTACCTACAAACAGGTCACAGAAATCATTATCATTAGCCAAAAGAGTGGAATAGGTTGCAACGACCAACAAGTGCTTGGGCCCAGGCCTAGGTACAGGCCCAGGCACAGGTAAACGAAAAATCAATTAGGATTAGGGCCTGCAACAGTTTCAGGTCAGATATAGGGTCCAGGCAGGGATTATAAAAGTGGAATTCATTGGCAGCTGCACAATGCACAATTTAGTGATTGATAGAAGGCTGCTGCTCTGGCTTAGGGGCTTATCATATTTCAATTTTCCTTTATGAATTTGAGGCATTTTAGTTGGCGGAAAAGCAAACAAAACAGAAATGAGGGAGGGAAACTGGAAATCCCCACAAAATGCGCAAATAATGCAAACAAATTTTATGTCCTTTGCTCTCCACCTCCGACCGCCTGTGAAGCCCGAAAAAAAGCCACCCCTAAAGCCGAAGCACGACGACTGCTTAGCAGAGGGAGCAGAGCAGGACTCTCTTATCAGGACTGGCGTTTATCAATGCCAGCAGCTCCAAAGGAACTCCAGGAACACACAGAAATTAGATGATGGGGCATGCCCCATGCAAATGGCAGGAAACAAAAAAAAGCAAGCAAGAAATTTTTGAACCAATTTGGGTCATGGCATGTCATAAGTCGAGGGACTTTCCCCCAGATTTAATTAAAAGCTTTTCCACCCAAGTTTATGCGGTCGGTCGCGCGGTAATTAAAAAAATTCACATATCCACATGGGTGTGTGAGCCAGCAGGACATAAAAAAAGAAGTACGAGTACAGGCAGGTGACACAAAGCCCACACAAGCTGTTTGCAACTCGACGGGGAGTTACCCTCTGAATGAGTTGCTTCCTTAGCTGAAGAACGGGGACATTGTTTATCACAGGAATCCCAGCATACCCGGTAGCTACAACTACGGGCGGAATCTATGAGCTCACGTGCTGAGGTCCTGTTCCCATTCCTTATGGTTTATTTTCACTTTTCTGGTCATATTTGTATGCTTTGGTCTTCTCTGGTCTGTGGGAACAACTGTGGCAATTGTTTCGTGTCCTGCCGTTTCTTTTCCTCCGCATTACGTGACACAATATATGAGCATGAGCGACATGTTATTCTAATTTCGCACCCCTTTGTCATTTGCCCATTTTCTCCCAGTTCGCTTTTCTTGTTCCTCCGAGGGGCGCTTGTCAAAATAAACATTTCCATATGGTCGTAGCTCTTCTTCTCTTGCCCCTGGGCCCAGGGCGATGTGTCGCAATGTGCCACAAAGGGATAGCCAGAGAGGGAGAGTGGTTTGAGGGACTCGGAATGAGGTCACTCTTCTTTACTGTTGAATGCAGACTAATTACGGTCCGAAGCAAAGTCTTTCAATTATGAGCTGAGCTGAGCTGAGTTGTGTGGGAAAGAGACAGCAGGGCCCAGGCGATAAAGACACAGAGACAAATGCTGGAACAGGAACGGGGCGCAGAAGTGTTGACAGTGCAAGCGGAAATGGTTCGTCTCTTGGGATTGGAAATATGACTGACATGCTAATGCAGCCCTAAAGGATTTCGACTGCTTGGGGATATAGGCAATGTCTCACTTTGACTGGCACTTATCGACGGACGATGGCCTTCATCATCCTCCGTTTCTTCCCACAGATTTATGTATGTACATAAAGTCAGGCCTTTGACTTGAGTTCTTTCAAGACAATGGAAACTTTTGTCCCGCAAAAGTTCTACAAACAAAAGTTGGGTCCTGTTAGTCCAACCAGCTATGCTCTGTGCTCTGTTTGGTTTTAATTGCAATCAGTTCTGTTTTATTATAATTTATTTAGCAAAGAACCAAAGCCACAGAAACAGAAAACAGAGAGAATCATCTACATATGTATGTATGTACATATGTATGTATTTTCAGGCAAGTCATGTGGCGAGAATGTGCAGGGTAGGGCTGGGGGGAAGGCACCCAAAAAGTACAAATAAAAGAGAACAGCAGAAGAACAGTAAAAATTCCCGCAAGCTTTCACCCCACCTCCCCCGAGTGTCATCTCTTTCCCACCTCTGCTGGATGCGTGAGTTGCTGCTGTCTGCTGCGGTGCTGGCAGAATGCAATTTCGAATTTCGTTCGAAGCTTCTTCCTTTTGCCAATTCGACATGACAACATGAATAATTCACTTGAACCCGCCACAACTGCCACGGCCACAATAAAAAAAACAACAACAAGCAGGCCAAAACTGAGGCTGCAGGCCCAAAAATGCTCAAAGTTCAACAAACTTCAAGGAGAGCGCCACAGGGAGGGCAAAGAGAGTAAGCGAAAAAAGAGACAGAGGATCTCAACAATAGAGAGCGGGAGTGGGAGGAAGGAGAGCCAACTCAAAGTGTAGTTGCAGTTGAAACGATATCCACCTTAAGATAGATCCTTCTGCCAAAGCAGAACTGAGAGCGAGAGTCTCCAAAGAGATGGCCTCGCTCTCAAGGAGAGGAAATGTCCATTCTGCTCTTCTGCGGGGGCGTCGTGCAGGGTATTGGGTCATGTGTGTGGGTTTGATCTGCCTGAAGCGTAACATGCGAAGCGAAGGACTCAGAACAATGTAAATCAGTTGAACATTCCCAATGAACTAGTTGCAGGCCCAAGACGACTCTCTCTGTCTCTCTTTTTCTATCTGTACTTTATTTACCCGTTCTGGCTCTTCTGTTAGTGTAGTGGAGAGTGCTTTAGTGGCTTAAAGTGCCGTTGAAAACATGCCATGGCAATGTTTCCTTCCCTGTCCCCCCTGTCTACACTCCAGTTCGTAAATCTCACACCTCTTTGGGGCGAGAGCCGGAGCTCCGGCTCATCCAGCTCCTCTGTCGCCATACTGGAGCTATAAAATATCAGAAATTATCTGCCTCCACGCCTCGAATCGCACTTAATCACCTCTCGCACTGTCAGGGAGTGGGCAACGAGAGCAGTGCAAAAGAGAGGGAGACAAAGGGGAGAGAGAGCGAACGAAACGGAAGTCGGCAACAGTTTTTTAAATGCAGTCATTTAGCCAAAGTGCCAGCCAGGAGGCACTAGGCTCTAGGCCTGAAGATCTTTCCAGTGCCACCAGTGCCACGCCTTTGCTGTTAATATAAAAAAAAGAACTCAATTACAAAACAAGCAACGAAAATTCCCCAGGAAAACGAGCTTCATAATTATTTTGAGCCCAGTGGAGCGAGCGATAAGCCAGGGTCCCGGGTACCGGGTGCCGCGTGCTGCTCTGCTCTGCTCAGCTCCTCCTCTCAAGGCGCGAGACAAGAGACAACAAGCAACAAAGTAAACAAAAGTTTTTGCATTGTTTTACCTTGGTAATCGGAATGTCATGGGTATGCTGGGCTCGTGTAGGCTACTCAGTTCTCAGGATTCTCAGGATTAGGAATACAGTGAATACAGGAAGTGGTGGCAGCTTGGCTAGTTTAAATTGAATTCTGAGCCGGCTAGGGGATATCATCTAGTCGGAACATCCACTATAACCTTCCTCAACGCTTTCGTTTAGTTATTCTTGTTGCATTTTCGCAGCTACATAAGTTGCTCTTCGGGTTTCATGTTTCCCCCCGGTATGCCCATGGGCTACATTAATTGAAAAAAAAAGTCGCTCGTTGGGCTTTGGTTAGCAAGCAAATGAAGTTGGTCTTGGCTTTGGCCAGGCCTCCACTAATAGAAGTAGCTCCAAGCTCCACTGGACACGGGACAGTGGACACTGGACTCCCCATCCACACTCAAGTCAACTACTCCCCGGCGTATAATTGCCCGCGTTCCCCTACTATTCTGTTGGGGCTTATCGGTCAACAAAATGCTGGGCAGTGTGCCCGAGATAAACTGCGGCCATGACTGCCTTAAAGTAGATCGATCGTTTGATTGGCGACGGAAAAGCGGCTGCCCGTCCCTCCGCTCACCTCTCCTCCTTTACGTTCATATCTTCGGAGCTAATCTAGCGGCGGCCTGCAATTGCCACAGAAAGAAAATAGAACATGAAAAACGAGCCAAGCTTC